TTATATATTATTAAATAAAAATGTATACATTTTAAAAATACAATGCATAGCGAAAGACAAGAATATCTCTAGACTTCTAAAGATTAAACCCCCACACATCACAGAGAGATAAGACAATGACCCAAGGCTTTATAACCGTTACGGTTATAACAAACCGGCACAAGAAAACATGGGACGTGGAGAAACACACACTTGCATTACAGACCCGCTCTACACGGCTAGGCGCTCTAGAGTACACCACCAAATCTACTCTACAGGACACACTGTCGGAAGCACACAGTCTCTACACAGCCAAGCTATCGAGAGAAGTGCTAGTGGCCAGTGCTACAGTGCAGCTAGCGCTACGACACAGTGCGGACGAGGTACAATACCTTCAAAAGTCTCATCCCAATAGTCTGCAATAGAGAGAGCACGCAAAGAAGGGGGAACAAGAGGGCGAGGTGAGAGGCAGGAGACATGCACACATGCAGCTTTTAGAGATACACTGCCAGTCAAAGGTTTGGAGACATCTAGCTTTTCAAAATAATAATGACTAATAAGCATATGTTCTTGCAATAACTTAGTATTAAGTTACAATAAATCAGTTTGCCATAAATTAACATGCCATTTGCATTAAGGACTAACCGGGTTTATTTAGAGGAAAACAACATCACACATGTAGTGATTTACAACACAGGGAGTGTGTTATCATGAATAACATCACAGCTGTAGATCATCACATTTTTTTTCTTTTGTGATACAAGAAATATCAGTGTTATATTACAATTAAAATGACATTTATTAAAGAACTATAAAAGTGTCTTCCACTATACATGTAAGCTCTTTTGCTTTTCAAAAACCTGTTACATCCAAAATTGTTATAATGGATACACAGCATTTTGGAATGAAACTCTTCCTATGTATTAGCTATTGCAAATTTCTTTCAGCAAAGCAGACCCACCACTGATGGATTAAGAGCAATGACAGATTCAGAATTGAAACTGGTTAATGGTTAGTAATAGCTTTGAGTAAAGCCACCACTGTTGTTATTTGGCTAACAGAATAGTAGAATAATATGAATGATGAAAAAATGTGCCATTTTCAGACATAACAACATGGGTACACTGTAAACAATGACAAGAAAACTTAAAATCTAAAGGCAACCAACTGCACAGCTTTTTTTAATCCTCTCAACTTGGCTCAAATTTAGTTTAGTTAAAAGATCCCTATAGCAGCGGGGGCGCGGTCAAGTGTCTGCGGGGGAGAGGCTTGGCCAGAGTGAGGACGCGGACTGTCTGGCAAATGCTTAAACCTGTGGGTAATTGTCTCTTTCCCTACTAATACAAGCTACTTTCCCCAGTAGAGTAAGAGAGACCTGGCTGACAGGAACATTCAGGCAGAGACGAACTGAAGCTCCAGAGAGAGAAACAACTCTGAAGACTGCAGTACTGAAGAGCTATCAGCTCGCAGCCTAGTGTTCCTTTGGTGTTGGTTATTTTTGAGAGAAGGAATAAAAGATCTCTGCCCGATGACACCGCCTCCTCAGTACTCCTTCTGCCCACACCCTACAGGGTATCACATTCCCCAAACTGACATTTTTAGTACTGCATCTCATTTAGGTCAACAGTACAGTTAAAGCCTACACAACCCCCCCACTACTCGACTCAGTCACTGCTAATGTCCACTCATAGGCAGCAACACTGCAGGAATACCTCCAGTCTGGGCAGTCGAGGGCTTAGTGCTTACTCCTCTCAGATTGGTCATTGAAGTTGGGCAGCTGTGACATGAATGGGATCCGAAATCATGACCTCCTGATGATCAGGCAGTTACACAGTTATGCTACTAAGGGGGTGGGGTTGGTTCCTAAAATGTAGGTGGCAATCAGCAATGATATAACTGTGGGGAAGGGAAAACTATGTCATCCCCAAAAAAATAGTATGCTTTAACTTTGTTTACTTAAATGAGATTAAAAAAGGTCAGAACTATTGGAGAAACAACAAAGCTGTTCACCAGAAAAATAAAAACTTTGCTGCCACTTACTTCAGACACATTTTATTCATTGGAAAAGTTAAGGATACCTGGAAAAACTAACCATTTGTATGAAGAAAGTGGGTACAATCAGTTATAGCTGCAAAGTTGTTCGCTAAGTTTGATGTGATACATATGTGATACTGTTTTCTTCTGAATAAATCAGGCTAGCCATTAATATGTGGCTATTGCAACCACCAAGGGGAACATCCTCATTTATTAAAACCATTTTTTTAAAAAGCTAAGTGTCTCTAAACTTTTGACAGGCAGTGTGTATGAGAGCAATCTAAAAAAGATGCAGCTCAGCTTTTAAAAGGAGCTTAGAGGGCTATAAATGGAAAGTGATGGCTGGCTTTTGGCTTTCTCTGTCGAGTCAGGATGACAATAGCCAGACGGCCTTTTCAGTAAACAGCAGGGGGAAACAAACTGAAGGCAAGAGGTTGTTCAGATAGGTATATACTTCATTTGTGTCACCTGTGTCATCTTGAGAGTGACAGACTCTCTCTCTCTTTCACTCAGGCAGGTACACACGCACATACGCACTCACACAGACACTCCCAGACAGTGACAGAACGACATGCTCATGCTTTAAAAGTCTATTTTTAAGAGAGAGAAGTCAGGGGCAAGTTGAAAGTGTGACTTATCAGGTGAAGACATCTGCACCTTTCATCTGCTCTTCTATGACGGAGACTTTTCATTATGTGAGCCCACTCACCTGTCTGTGCCGTCTGGCATGTGATCAAACACCAGCCTTCTCTCAGTCAAACACTAGATCCAGGAAAAGCGCTAATGTTCCTCAATTCCTCACGTCTGACCTGCTACAGCCCTTCTATTTGCTCATTCTTTCCCCTACCCTTGTCTAGTCCTCTCTAATACTCTTCTTAACCCTGCTAGCATGGAACCTGTGCCCCTATTCGGCATTAAAACCCCTCAAATCAAACTCATCCCTGCATCTCTCTTTCAATAAATCCCCTTTTAAGACTCAGTCTCTTTGCTCTTATTAGCTAAGCCTCCTGTGTGTGTTTCAGATGTGACTGAGTTTTTTTAATGTATTATTCCTTTTATCCACAAGCTCAAAAGTGGCATCACCAGAGTTTCTGTTTCATTAGAATCATTTGAGTGACACATTCTGCCTGCACTCTTCTGTTTCAACTCTCACCAAATACAAGAGAGAAAGAAAGAGACACAAAGTAATCACTTTCAGTCCTGCTTAATTTAGATGATTCAGTCAGAAAACACATAACACTTTGAGAAAGTGAGCTTATAACAGTGGTTTTCAATGCCAATCCTGAAGACTCCGAGCTCTTCAGATTGTTATAGCATCCTGGCTCAGATGCACTTGACCCAAACCATGATGGACAGTTAATGTGTGGAATTAAACATGAGATTTCATCCCTGAAGATGAGATAAGAACTGCGAGGATATTGAAAACATCATTCAGTTGGGATATTTTGGAGATTCAACAGAGGTTGTAGAAGTACATAAAGTCTGTACTCAAGTAAAAGTGCAAATACTCATCTAAAACTACCCCAGTCAGCTGAAGTGAAAGCACAAAGTTATATACTTCTGGATGGCTTATGTCTTACATTTTTATTGTATTTTATTTAAGGTTAAACTTTTGAGGTTTGTGTGGGTTTATGTAGCCAAAACAATCAGAATTCAGTTTTCCATGACCACTTTCTAATCTTTCTTTAACTTTTAAGTTTATCTAGTCATGTTACTATGTCTTTAAGACTCATATATGTAAATGATCTGTACTCTGATTGGCCTCCCTCATTTAAAAACAGGGCTGAAACACTTCTTATAACTTCAATGTGAGTGGGTGTGGTTAAGCTAGTGTAGATTGAATATATTGTTGATGTCAGAACAAAACCACGTACCTCCAAAATGGTGACTTAAAAAACATTCTCAACTTTGAACTGAAGTTAATGTAACATGTATCCAAGTTTGGACCATTTCTATTGGTCCGTGCATTATGCAATTTTAACACAGTTAAACACAACGTAAAGGGTAACTGGAACAAATTATGCAAAAGAGTAACAAAAAAGAGATACAAGGTTTTGTAACAGCGATGGTGTGTAAATGCATTGTTTTTCATAACATTACGAAAACGAAGATCTGGCTGTTTTTGCAGCTTAGTTTTCATTTATGGACTGTATGAACTGGGGAGTAAATATTATGTTCTGAAACTCGAGTAATGTTTACTTTCTCCTTTAAACTCTTTTACTTAAAAAGGAAGCATTGTTTTTACATCATATGGGTCATTTAAAATGACCTAAAGCATAAAACTAAAAGCAACCACATAAAAGGCAGTTCATCAGTTTAATCACTTCTCTAATCACTAAGCTACTTTACTGTTGCTTTTCTTGTCCCCTTTCCTCCTTTCTGGTATGAGTGCCTAATCAGCCAAAGAAATAAATACATCAAGAGCTTATTTGTCTCTCTGTTTTTGTTCTCACATCTGTTAGAGTTTAGATTCACAAGGAATTTGTTGCATAATTAACTGCTGAAAGTGTCTGATGTGAAGATCACCTCATGACATCAGAAAATATGTAGCTTATGGGCTGTCTAGGGACCCTGAGGACCAGGATGGGAAACACTGCCATAAAAAAAAAAAACACTAAATAATCTTTTAGCTTAAAGAACAAAGAATGTTTCTATACCAATTAAAGATTTTTGTTTTCTGGAACCATACATTCAAACCATTAACCAGAACCTGTAGTTTAGGGCTGTGCTATGTATCTGTTGAATTAAAGTTTGGAAAAAAACACTAAAGTTTGTAAGGCGTGGACTCTCTAGAGCTGGCACTGCTTTATAAAGAGTTATAAGGAAACACTGCATGTCAGATAAACTTAAGAAGAGCTGCATCAGCCCTCTCTGTGGTGTGCTGTACTGACTGAATGCGGCAGGGCAGGCAGAGTGTGTCCTGTGTGTGTGTGTGTAAAAGGGACAGGAAGGTATTGTGGGATTGGATGAGTTGGCGAGGCGCCTACCAATGGTGCAGTGCTCTCCGTTCCAGCCCTGCTGACACTCGCACTTGCCGTCCTTGCAGGTGCCATGCTTCACACATAGTGGGTTACACACACGCTGGTCACACGCTTCGCCCGTCCAGCCCTCCTCACAGCGGCATGAGCCACCCATACACACGCCGTGAGTGCCGCAGTCCACCGAGCACACCTCTGCACAGACACACATACAAGGAGGAGCAACAAGGTCACATTTCCAAACCGTAACAGGAGATTTCAACCCTAAACAAAAGCCTAAATCAGACAGTCAGAACAGTGTTAATGACAGTGTCAGAAAAATATCTCATGAGGACATCACTGATGACTGTTCTTCTCAAAAAATCAAGAACGGAAAAATGAGGCACATGCAACTTAACCAAACATTGTAATTTGTTGTATTTATAATTTATTGGGTTTTATTTAATTATATATCAAATTTTGTTGTTTATAGATCCTATTTTCCATATAGTTAATTACCCTTAAACACAGTATCAGTTGATGGTATCAAGTGAAAGTCCAGAAGCCATACGTTCAGCAGAAGTTATAGAATAAATAATATGGAATTGCATGATGTGACTGCGACTTCTAACTTCTTAAAAACAAAAACTCACATAAACTTTTCAACTTCAGTGAAACATCAAACACACTCATACTGACCTACGGAACAGTCAGGACCCATCCAGTTGGGGTCACAGCTGCAGAGGCCTGTGTCTGGGATGAAGGCTCCGTGGCCATGGCACTGGTCAGGGCACTGAGCTCTGGGCAGCTCACAGTGTGCTCCGCCCCAGCCAGGCTTACAGTGGCACTCACCGCTCACACAGATGCCATTATTGGAGCAGGTCGGGTCCAGACAGTCTACTGCACATAGCACACACACACAGTACTCAGCATTTAGACCTTTAGAGGGCTTCACTGAATTGTTGGCACAATCAAATAGAGGATTCCTCTATTTTTTCAAAATTAGAATAAAACATTTACTCTCACATACAACATAAATATTAATATTACTACTTATTATAATAACATTTTCTTTAAATGCACCTTTTTCCAGACCACCTGTTACAAAGTGACAAGAAATACAGTTAGAGAATAAGAAACCAACATAAAAAAGTTGGGATTCTATATTTGAAGATCAGAAATCCAGAAAATCAATAAAAAAAAATATAGAAAAACACTTTAGATGGATTTTAAAGAAAACACCATCATAAAGTTAGATGGCTAGATTTGGAAAGCTAAGTTAAGTGCTATTTAAATATATAAAAGTTTGGGCGGCCCTGGTCTAATTAGATGTTTTGTTGGTTTTTCAAGTGAAAATAAGTTGACACATCCTCTACAGAGAACACACTTCTGCACATTTCAATACATAATTATAGTTCATTTGCTGATTTTAACATACTGGAAAATTATGCCAGATTTTATGTTTCTTTTTTTTCCAATAAATTAAACTCAAATAGAAAGAAACTGTGCACTAAACTTTGCATAAAAGTGCCATATCTCAGTTATTCTCCACAGAGGATGTGCTTATTTTTGCTTAGCTATACTTAGAAAATCATTTGACTGGGAGTGTTCATTATAATTCTGTCATTGCTATGAATGAATCTGTAACTATGAAACTAAGAACTGAGCATTGAACCTACTTAAAAGGTTAAAAAAACACGTATGCAATAGCTTTATACCTGGATATTCCTACAGTACAGTATGTCTCAGGGGAATTACAGGAATTCACTTGAGCGCACAAGCGTAAAACCGTAACGCACAGATGAGAAAAGCTTGGCCAGTGGGCTTGGAAGGTTTGGAAGGTTTGTGACAGAAGCAAGCACACACACACACACACACACACTAACATGGCCTTTCTCTGAGCATGAAAAATCAATGTCCCCCACACAGTAGGTCTGCGAGTGAGTGTTTCCTCTCTAGTGCCTTTCACACACTCATCTCTCTCTCTCTTTCTCTCTCTCTCTCTCTCTCTCTCTCTCTCTCTCTCTCTCGCTCTCATCCTACTTCTCTTCCTGACTTTTCTCCCACCCCTGTTTACACTCTGGCCTCAGATGTTCCGGAGAAATTGACATTGACTGCCGAGCTGCCAAGGAGATCAGGCCGCTCAGACGAAGTGAAAGCCATTTGACAAATTAGCCGCTCCTAGGTCCGGCGTGGGCGTATCTCTCACCCTCCACTTTCACACCACAAAGTCGTCCGCGGAAGGCCGTTCTGTTTAGGCTGCAGAAATGCCGCATCACAAGTATCGATTTATGTGTCTCAGCCACTTCAGGTAAATTGTTTGAGCGACTATATTGTGATGAATATCAGATTTGAGGAAAGGGATGGAGGGATGAAAAAAGTGCCGGAAGTAAATGAAAAAGGGAAAAGTGCTGACCTTGTGGTCCAAGAAAACACTTGTACTTTCCATCAATGACGTACAGTACAGCTTTAATCAGGCCTGAAACTTTAGTCTGAACTCGAGAACATACTGTCCAAACCTGACCCGAGTCATAGCACATAGTTTTAACCCGAACCTGACTCGAGCCTGACAAAATTTTATCTGAACTTGACTAGAATCCGACAATAACGCCTGGTGGCTTAGTGAGAAGGTTAAGGTACCAAGCAACAATGACAGCTGAACTTCTAAAACATTGGTTGATTTTTTTTCTAGGTAAATGTTTTGTTTTCACACGGGTCTCATGAAGCCTGTTTACATCTTGCATTAACATATTTTGTGTCAGGATCATATCTGGATAAGCTCCAGAGTTTATTTATACATTTCAGTCAGGTTCTACATTTCCTGCATAAAAAGCACATCATTTCCAGTTTACTTCTGTTTACTTGTCCCCCCCCCCGTTACGATACAATTCAATAAGCTCAGCTTGGATGTTTTTTTTTATAGGCACAAAGGCTCTTGGTTTGGGGTAACTCCAACCTTCAAGATCCGTCTTTAACCACCTCCAGAAATGTGATTTGAGGGATCTGATCGTAAGCCAATCACAAAGCATCCTTGGGGGTGTTTTCACCTGGCTTTTCATGCAGTCCAAACATGACCTGATTACTAAAAACTTGACCTGATGCAAGGTGTAAACTGGCCCACAGACCTTGGCAGCAACAATATGAGTGACACCAGCTACCCACATCAAAGGTAGGTTAAAACTAAGGAGGAGGAATAGAGAGAAAAACTAAAAGAGTTAAATGCGGGTCAGAATTAGGTAAGAAAGACGGGCTATGACGGGCAGAACATCTGAATCTGAACCCAACCAAAGCCCAACAAACACCTGAGAAATGATTTTGAGCCCAGCGTGAAAAGTCAGGTCCCATCAGGTTCAAGCAAATTTCAAGCTCCCCCTTTCTCTCTTCCCCTCTGTCTCACGTTTTACTTCTTACCCTTTTTCACCTTCATATGTAGCCTTTTCTCACTCGCCTCCAGTCTGCCCTCTCTGCTAGTCAAAAACACTCTCCTCCTCTCTTGTTCCTCCACTCGTCTCTCACCTCTCCATGCCTCCTCCCATCTCTGTCCTTCACTTTCCTCAGCTAGAACCAGTTTATCCCTCTCTAAGGGTTTCGTGAAATGGCTCTCACACTTTCCCTCCAGTCTCTCTCTGTCTATCACTTTCTTGTCTCAAAGCAGGCAAACTCCAGCAAACACTGAACATGTCGCAGGCCCGAGGCTATTTTTCTCAGCAGCCGGATCAATAAAATGGATTTTGATCCTTTAATCAAATCTCTGGTGTTTTTTTGCTGCTTGAGTGCAGGAACACAAAGACGGTGAGAATAGACGACCCATTCAGAAATTAAGTCGCAAAAAAAAAATTATGTCTAAGCAGCACGCTACTGTTCTAAAAAGCCTGAAAAGTCTGTTTGTTGTTGTTGCTCAGTAATTTAATAAAATAGTACATATTTAAATACTATAAACTAGACAGCACAATGCTTTATTCAATATTTCAAACATTTCGGGGAGGAACAATAAAGTTAAAAAAGTTCTGTTTAAAATTCTGAACACATCAACATTTTTTTACAACTTCCTGCAAATCATTTCAAACCGATAAGATCATAACATCAGATAACACCAGAACGCTATAATTTTATGTGTATACAGTACTGTATAGCGTTGAGTTGTCTTCTCACAGTGGAAGGATGGACACCTGTGGATTTTTCAAATCTGATGCAAGAGTGGAGCTTAATTTTCTCCTCACTCTCAGAGATGAAAGCTTTAAGCAATGCTTGACAGTTTTGCTGGTCTATCTGGTCTTACATGGTTGTTAGGAGTCACATTTTCTGTATATCTTTTTAAAATGTTTTGAAAACCTGTGACTTTCATCTCCTTATGAAAGTGGATTATTATATGTCTAATCTCATTAGAAATATCTCCTGATGAATGAATAACTTGTACTTAATGACTGTTTTGACTGTAAGTATAATAAAATTAATAAAAAAAAATACGCAGTAAACGACTGAAAAGAGTGATTTCAAATTTAAATGGTATACTCTTGAGCTCTTCATGAGCACTTACAGAACAATTTGAATGCATAAATGGTTCCTTGCATTGTCAAATGGTTCTTCTCTATCACATTAACCCAGTTATATAGGGCTCTTTAAAGAACCCTTTTAAAAATGGTTCTATATAGCACCAAAAATGGATTAACTATTGTTACAAGTAAAATAACTCTTTTCAGTACTATGTAGAACCCTTTTTGCTAAGAGTGCAGTGTATGCATGCGTGTGTATGTGCCTCTGAACAAACCACACACTCATACAAACACACCTTCAGCGCAGTTCTCTCCCTTGTAGCCCAGTGAGCAGACGCAGGTCCCCTCTGTGCAGGAACCGTGCCCGCCGCATTGGGGGTCGATGCACTGGTTGACTGGAACATCACACTCCGGTCCTTTCCAGCCACTGTAGCAGATACATGAGCCTTTATCATACTGCCCATTACCACTGCACAGCACTGGACATGCAGCTGAAAAAGTGAGAGAGAGAAAGAGAGAGAGAAAGTGAGAGAGAGATGATTAAAGCAGTTCATGTGAATCCAGAGTTGTTGACACATGAAAGATTTTCTACTCCGTTTCAGTTTTCCCCAAGAAACCTGCACTCAGAACCAATGAAAGGATGACAGAGGTAAACTGCAGGAACAGAATGTTCACTTAGGCACAATAAAAGTCACAATAAAAACGAATTTCAAGTTTGTGTAGTGTTAAGATAAAGATCATAGCTATTACTGATGAAATAAAAAAAATAGACCAAAAATTAGATGCATGGAAAGATGTGCCTGTCATTAAAACATAATAGGAAGAAAGAATGCAAGAGAACAGTACACAAAGGGCTCTGATCTTCTGCACACAGACGCACACTAGGCTCATTTAAACATTCGTCCCCTGAGGCCTCCTTCTCAATTCTTGAAGAACTTGCCCCTCCTCCCCATTCAACAAAAACAATATTTTCAATACGCAAACTACTGCAGAGTATATACATGTACAAAAACCAGGTTATTCGGGAAATGAAGTGGTCCATTTTGGAAAAGTGGTTAACTGACCCATTCCCATGTGACACTTTACTCGACCATTATTTTAATTGCACAAAAGAGACCAATATTACAAAATTAGATTGTGAAAAAATTAGGACATTCCAGGTCACAAAAATAAAAGACAGTCCTATGATACAGTCACTTAAAATTTTATTATATATAATATTTTTTTGCTATTTTCCAACTCTGCCCCATGATACCCTCCCCATTTCCAACACACCACACAGTTTGAATAACTATGCACTAGACAATATCAACATCAATGAGCTGAATTCTGTACATTCATAATAGCTGTGCCCACAACACTGAGCTCTTCCTAAATAAAACTCCTCTGTATTGTCAAAGTGGTATTAAAACCTTATAACTCCATGTAATTTTTTCAGTTATTATTTCATTTTTTATTTATTCTGGCACCATTTGAAAACATCAGCTACCCTTTACACCGTGTGAACATTTCACAATGAATGAACAAATAGAAATGCTTCAAAATGACTTGGAATAAAGTCTCATTACATAGGACTGGCCTTATCCTACATTTTCTTGCGTTTATTGTTTCCCCTGAGATATACTAATTCATTTTTTCCAACCTCTCTATCATTTTTTTCTTTTTTTCACATTTTCTCATTTTTCTTCCAATTTTATGAAACCTGTGAAGATGCACGGATCAACATATTACAAACATTTTGCACATTTATCTGTAACCAAAGTGGATTTATTTACTAAAAAAAAAAACATTCTTAACTTTTTATTCATTCCATTCACACTAAACTTTTAAGCCATGATTCCAAACTTTGTAGTGTAGGTACTGCTATCTCTTCCATATCTAAACTATTTCCATATGTTACATAGCATTGATGGTTCTTATTTATGTCCAAACATACATAATGGGGACCTGCATTCATTCTAATTCTGAGTCCTTTTTTATGTGCATGTGTCTGTATTTGGCTGTGAAGCCTGTATGTACGTAAGTGAATTGGAGCCTGCATGTATGTGTGTGTGCTCATTAATGAGTAGTGATAAATAAGTAGAGGGATGTGGGAGCAGATGTGCTCATTGCTTTTTCTCTCATTTATAGTATATAAGTCTGCTACCATACAGAGTGAGCCCCTTCTTTCCAAACACCCCCTGATGACATACACACAAACACATATATACAGGAACACCACAACACTTAGCAGTCCACCAGGCTGTTTACAAGTGTTCCTGAGACGGTATAGCCGCTGGCAACCCACATTTACAATTTACTTTAAGAAACGCTGCTTAAACAAGTCCCTCCGCTCAATCTGACAACAGCTGACTGTGGCGGATTCACCTTGGGCCTCAAGGCCCAATAAGAGTGGTCCTCCTGGACTACATTACCCATAACCCCCCCTACGGCCTGAACGGCAGGCATACAGAGTCCCTCGCTGTTGTATATGCAACCTTTTAGTCAAAGGATTCCTTAGGCAGAAAGAGGCATTCAATAACATTCAACGCTAACAGCACATGCTCACATGCAAATAAACACACAGAGGAAGGGAGAATGTGACAGAGATAGAAATAGGGATAGACAGATAGAGCAGGAAGGTCAGAGCCTGGTATGGAAGTGTAGATGGAAGCAAGGCTAAGTTGAAGAAAACTCTAATGAAACAAAATGTAATCTAACAGTGAGGTAACTAAACTATTAATCACAAGCCTCCCAGGTGAACAATGGAAGATATTGGCTTGCATGAACCCACATCCATCATCCAAATGCCTCTGAGACGCCTAATGGCCCCCGGCCCTGCACACACACACGCACATATAGAGCAACAGAAACTGAACACAGTGCCTTATTTCCAGTCTTTTTTTTAATACTTGCTGCAACGAAATGTGTGTATTAGTCGGACTAGTTTGTGCTAGCATGGTAGGTGTTTGTAAGCACTGTAGAGGCCCACTCCCCATCCTGAGCCCGACGGGGCCCAACAAAATATTGGGTTTTCGGACGACTTTTCGGGCTCAGGACGTGCCTGGCTGTTTTCTAATGAGTGATTTACACAGTAGATTTAACACATTCCCTCACAGTTTTGCTTTTACGCTGTCTCTTGCTCTCTCTCTCCTTCTTGTGCTCCGTCTCTGTTGTACTCATTCTCTCTCTTTGTGTTGTGTTTAGTCTCTCTCTTGCACTCACTCCCTTTCTTGTGCTGTGTCTTTCTTGCACTGTCTCTCTCGCCCTCTCGTTCTTACTTGTGTTCTCTCTCTCTTGCACACATTCTCTCTTTCTTGTGCTCACTCTCTCTTGTGCTCTGTTTATCTCTGTTTACCAGTTTATCTCAGGATGAAGTTTTTTTGTCACTCATCTCAAGCTCTTAGAAACAAAACTAAACAATGAATAACCATGTACGTTAACATGCAGACCTCCAACGCACAGCAGAGAGATGGTAGGAGCTATATGTCTCTTTGTCATTCTCTCTCTCTCACTTACACACATACACCCACAAGCCCCTATAATGGGGGTATGCACTCATGGGCCAGTGCAGGCCATTGCTCCATGTACTGATGTGGGACTCTGAGACTGACAGCCATTTCTAATGTGTACAGCTCCTCAAGTCCCTAAGGTGCTCCAATACAGGAAAACTTTCAACAAGGTCTTAGTCTTTGTTACACTAAAATGAACTTACCCTCTATTGCAAAACCCCTATATGCCTTTAAGGCAGTTGACTAGGGCCACACAACACATTGATGTTAAACAATATTGTGACACTAGCCTTTGCAATACTGATATCGCAGAAGGCTGTAATATGCAAATGATCCTTTAACCTAGTTGATGTCAAACTATTTCTCAGGGCTTCACAGATCTTTGCTCCAAACCAACTTGCAACAAATAAGCATAGAGGAAATATGTGTACCACCTGGGGGGCCTTGAAGACCAGTTTGAGAACCACTGCCCTAACCAATCACAGAATTAATTTTTTGCTGGCTGTGAGCATCCTGACCTGTCCAATGAGTGATTCTGTGGGTTAAATTCACACAATCTAGCAAACACAAATAATCTAAGTTAAAATGATGCACAATCTTTAACCACTTTTAACGGTGTCCACTTATAGCAATTGTGTTGTTTTACGTACCAAAAACAGATGTATTTCATTTTTACAAGACCATTTTCAGCCTCTCTAAATTAACTCTATTCTGATTTGCTGCCCTATAATGTGCCTTATTCACAAAGCAGCCCAGGCTGAAACACTCGTATAACTTCAGAGTGTATGGGCAGGGATAAACTGCTGTAGGCTGAATAGGTGGATATATATAAATGTGCTGTTTTTTGCGCAATCACAAAAACAATGAATTCAAAACAAGCTGTTTTTTCAGCATAGTTTCCATATATGGATTGTATGGTCTGGGATGTGAACATTTATATGGACTGTATGGTGTAGGATGGTACATTTTGACTTTACCTCACTTTAACAACTGATACTGATACCTCATATCAGTCCATACGCAAGGCCTCAGTATCAGCCCATACTCAAGGCCTCAGTATCAGTCCATACTCAATGCTTCAGTATCAGTCCATACTCAAGGCCTCAGTATCAGTCCATTCTCAAGGCCTCAGTACCAGTCTCAGCCCATACTCAAGGCTTCAGTATCGGTATCAGCCTATACTCAAAGCCTCAGTATCAGTCCATACTCAAGGCTTCAGTATCAGTCCATACTCAAGGCCTCAGTATCAGTCCATACTCAAAGCCTCAGTATCAGTCCATACTCAAGGCTTCAGTATCAGTCCATACTCAAGGCTTCAGTATCAGTCCATACTCAAGGCCTCAAGACCTCAGTATCAGTATCAGCCTATAATCAAGGCTGTAGTTAAGGCATCAGTGTTGGTTTCAGCCTATTCTCAAGGTTTCATTGTCAGTATCAGCCTATTCTCAAGGCTTTAGTATCAGTATCAGCCCATTCTCAAGGTTTTAATATACATATTAACACATACTCAAGGCATTAGTATTGGTATCGGAAAAAGTAGTATCATGAAAGAAAATGTGGTATCATGCAATCTCAATGAGCCTGTTTACACCCTGCATCAACATGTGTTTCATGTCTGTTCTTTCGGGATTCCACTTCACTTTTCACAAAAATGTGCCCCCAGCTTCACCAGATGAGATTGGATTTTACTTTCCTTCTGTTTTACTTTTGTTTGCTTTTTCCCAGTTACGATACAAGTCAACAAGCTTGGTTTGGACACCTTCATCGGCTCAGAGTGTTTAAAAGGCTGTTGGTTTGGAGATAACTTTAGCTTTACATATCCTCCATCATTCGTTTCATAGTTTATTTTCTCACTTGCTATTCAGCATTTGGCAGAAGCACTTCTGCTCACATAATTGTTTATGGTTAACAAAAACATATTTCACTTATTGTATTTTTCCTCCAAATGTGGTTTGAATAATCTGATTGTAGTTTGATCATAATGTGTCCTGGGGGTGCTTCCACCTGGCTTATAATGCAATTAAATGAAATTTGAATGCGATTCAATTAACGAAAACGTTGATGCAAGGTGTAAACGGGCCCAATATGTAGCAATTTGACTGTAATGTGGTATTTTGTCCAGCCTGTGCAGTCTTACGGTGGAAAAATGTTGAGCTCTACTGTATGTCCTTCTTCTTTTCATAGACTACTGCTTAGTTCATTATCCAAGTCTCTTACTAAACTGCTGGACACTCTATCTTCACTCTTCTTTCTCTCTGATTATTTCATGTAACAGTAAGCGTTCCTCTATTGGTGCGTATATGTGTGTGTGACAGAGGTCAGCATGTAATTGGAGGGTCGCCTACCTTTCGAGCAGTCCATGCCATGGAAGCCGGGGAAGCAGTGACACACTCCTGACACGCACTCGCCGTTGCCATGGCAATTTCGTGGGCACTCTTGCACAGAGTCTGCGAAAGGGAGGACACCCCATGTGAGAAAAACGGTGGCAACTGACAAAAAACGACAACTGAAAGCGGGATAGCTGTGTGAAGGAAACAGGCTATTACACTCGTCCTCTTGTCGTTCATCTCTACCACCCTCCCCCTCAGGCCCTGTCCCATTTCTTGTGGCCTTCATCTGTCTATCCCTGCAGGGAACTGCTGGGGAGGGAAGCCCATTTCTAATTCTGTTTATCAAGGATGCTTAATGTGCATCTCCAATGAACCCTCAACAGAACTCTCCTTGTAAATGAGCTTTACATGGGTATTACCTAGAAATCCTTACAAATTCATGACAGGGACGATGATTCATCAAATTCTGATGAATCATAGCAGATTGAAGTTGATGTACCAGGCATGGTAATGTTGTAAGTAGTATTTAAGAAAATGTGCTATATGAAAATAATCATTCAACAACAGCTGTTAATTATAGTTTAATACAAACAAAATATTTTCCAATGAACTGTCACGTAGATTTAAGGGAAGCTTAGCAATATGGCAAAAATTCCTATAATTCCAAATCCTCTAGATGAATCATGTCACAATGTGTACAAACTATGCAAACTAACTGCCACAAAATCATTGTGTTTAGAACTGCCGTTATTCATTTTCAGACTGTGGTTAGTTTGTTCTTAGTCAGATCCATCAGCCAACAACTACATTTTGATAAATAAAATGCAAGAGATGTCTCACTTTTTACAAACTATAATGTGATAATTTGCCCATCACACTACTTTCTTGGCAGGTGAGATCATCTAATTCTAAATAATATATCTAATATTTCTTTATTATGTGATTGTTTTAGACTCAATCTATTTCTAGATAGAGTTCACTTTTTTAAAGTAACTTCAATCTAGTGATTTTGTCTTATTCCGTTGGCAAACAAGCATAACTGTCTGTTTTATTTCTTGAGACAAGTAAATTTTTCTGCCATTGGAATAGCTACACTAGATAAACTACTTAAACTTAAACTGACTTAAAACAGGTAAAAAGGACTAGAAATACAGTTGCATGCACAGATTTGAACACCCCCAGTCCATTGATCTGTTTTTAGTGCACATTTTCTTAGTTTTTAGAATTTTAGTACACATTCTCTATTTATTTGCTGTATTTAACATTTTGAAAAAGAAAAAACAAAATACAAAATGTGCCATAACTTTCAGTTTTGCAAATCAAGAGTAATTGTGCATTAAAATGTGCAGAAGTGTGTCCTCTGCAGAGGATGTGTATTTATCTTCACTGTAAGTTTTTCGATATGTCTAGAAATATAATAATCTTATCATATCCTTACAACAACCTCATTATAAGAAATATCAGATATACTGACTACATTGCCAAGATATCTATGTTTCGTACTGCAGAAAAAGAAATATAAATCAAAGTCTAATAATAAAAAAAAAGAAAATCAAAAACTGTCAGTGCTGGCTTTGTTAAACCGTCACAGGCAAGATAATAAAAATATGTCACCAAATAATCTGAGGGGCATGTATTCTTTTGTTGTGTGTGAGGTAGTGCTTTAATAAACTAACACTCTCATAATTTACAGAGCAAAGACAAGTCTTGAAATTCAGTCATAAGGCAAACCATATTAGGAGATACTTCAGTCAGACTTTAAAGTGTGAGAAATATCCAAACAAAGCAACAAAACAAATAAAAACTCTAGCTGCATTCATAACATTACATAATGCTGTAATGCTGTAACTGCACCTAATGTTATATAGTATACAGGAGTCTAATCCTTCAGGCTGCCCACACTTTATTGTGAAGATGATTTGAGGCCTGATGTGTCCCAAATGTCATTTTGAATTGTGCCCTACGTGTGTGTGTCCACTGTTTTCCTTCCCAAGGGCCAAATAAACAAAGGGAAGAGCATTCAGCCTCTCACCTCTCCCTTTTTCTCTCTCTCTTTTCATCTCTTTCTCTCCCTAGAGCCCTGCATCATTATTGATACAACCAATCCAAGCAACTACAAAGCATTTAATTAGCCATGAACATTAGCACAGTTGATGTGCATAACGTTAATTGGTGTGATATCACTTATTACAGTTACCTCATCATGTGTGAATATTCATAATATTTCTGTATGTGTAAGGTGCTCATCTCACTTAAAGTTAAACAGCTGTAAAGTGTTCTTCATTTTCGTTCCTGAGAACGATGAAAAAAACAAGGCCACAATGTCAGACTCCATTCTTCCAGTACAAACCTGGTGCTCTGCCAGAGCCAGCTAGCCTGGTTTTTCAATCCATTAGCCAAGACATTTTCATTCCATTAGTTAACCTTATGGGTTATTTACAGGTCCTTACTGAATGCTTAATGTTAACATTGTAAAATGTATTCTGTTATCCAGGCTATATTAATGTTTGTAGGAGGCTTTTGCACCGGTTCAATGGTGCACCCAGTTAGCACACTACAGACTTTGTGCACATAATGCTGATAAACACAAGTGTGTGTGAGTGAGTTGCTTTCGTAAGGTGCTTCAAATCTAAAAGGATCAGAGTTTTGTGCTATGTACTTAGGCTGCATTGTGAAACATAATGTACTAAATATCTGTTCTCTTCAGCTCTGTTTTTCTCAAACCCCCCTGAGCTCTCTCCCGCATTCATTCAGCCTGACACTGCATTTCCCCAGCTTCTGTTTTTTTAAATAGCTTTACTGCAGTTCCATCTATACCCAGATACTGATAATTCACTGGTGAGTTTGTGATTGGATATATAATGATAGCTGTGTGTTATACTAGCTATAAATCACTAAATCCAAGTCTAAATCTAGCCTTAACCATGGGAACAAACATGAAAGCACTGGGATGTTTCAGTAGACTACAGTTTGTGTTAAAAAGTCAAACAACCAACTCCAGACTTTTCTGCTCCAGAGAGCCTTAAAAGATATGCTCTTGATCCTCAGCTGAGTTCTACTTTTCAGATTTGCTCTAGATCCTCAGTGTTCTAAATTCTAATCTGTTTACTCAATCCTCAACTGTTTAAGACTGTGTTCTAGATTCTCAACTGTGTTCTAGATCATCACTTGGGTTCTAGACTCTCAGTTGTGATACAGGTCTTCAGTTTGCTAAAACCTCAGTGCTCTAATTCTTAATTGTGCTCTAAATCCTCAGTGTTTCAGATCATCGGCTGTGTTCTAGACTTTTGGTATTCTAGACTCTCAGTTGTAATCTAGATCTTCACTCTTCTACACTTCCAGTGTTGCAGGTTCTCAGGTATGTTCTAAATCTTCACTGTTATAAATTCTGAACAGTGTTCTAAATCCAGTGTTCTAGATCCTTAGAAGTGTTTTAAATACTCAGTGTCCAGATCTTTAGTGTGTTCTAGATGCTCAGTGTTAAGATTCTGAGCTGTGTTCTAAATCGTCAGTGTTCTACCTCACCACTATGTTTTAGATCTTCAGTGTTTTAGCTTCAGCTGTGTTCTAGACCCTCAGTGTTGCTGATTCTCAGGTACAATGTAAACAATATTCTATTAAGATCCTCAGTGTCCTAGACCCTCAGAGTCTGTGTTCTAGACTCCAGACTGCTTCTATCATTAACATCCTCTAAGCTTTCTTAGGGGGAGAGCAGAAAAAGTGAAGAAGAGAGGAGTAGATGGAGTAGATGGAGGAGCAGATGATTCACTTTCCTCTGACTCAACCCCCCTCCTCTCTGCTCTTTTCTGCTACTCTTCAATCCTCTCTGCACCCTCCAAATACAAGTGGAAAACAACTTCAAGTGAATTTGCAGACCAATGGGGGATGCATTAATGGAAGAGCTGGGGAGAGATGAAGGTGCTGAGAGCAAGCGGGTGAGTGAGTGAGTGAGTGAGTGAGTGAGTGAGAGAAACTGACTGACCCAGTTTTGCCGTACTGAAGGACACAGACTCTTTCTCCTTGCCGTCATTGTAAAAGGCCAGATGCCACGTGCCCAGATCCAGGTACTGCACAAACACAGCCTCGTTCAGCACCACCGTCTGAATACTGCGTCTCTCTCGAGGAGACTCCACCACACTCCATTTCTCCTTGCCGTCCAAGCGTTCCATGTAGTCATACTGCATGAGGAAGAGAGAGAGAGAGAGAGAGAGAAGGAAAGACGGAGACAATGCAAACAGACATTACTCTTGGTTCTGGATGTTTGGGTGACACCATTATGGTTCATATAAAGACAGATTTAGGTTGACCGAATTTATTAGTTCATTGTTAACTTGCGTTTATGAACTCATTGCTAACTTGAAGTTTTGCATAATGAAGGCCAGGGGTATGGACAAATGTTAGGGTGCAAGGCAGAATGTGCTTTAATGCAGCTACACTATGAAATCTGTTCTTTAATGTTTTATTTAATAAGGCTATAACTAACCACGCAAACTGCATGTGGAACCACCTAATAACTGTGAGGTGCAAGGTTTGAAGACACAGTGGAATATTGGAGATATTAACAAGCTCATACAATGTAATGTCAGGGCAACTTCAGCAGAAATAAGTTGCTATTAAGTCAACTGTGCTTCACAATTATACATGACCACCTTAAGTGAAGTTCCTCATTTTGAGTCAATCAATTAAAGCTGATTTGATTAGTAAAATCATTTTAATCTGTCATGTCAATAGATATGTTCTAGATCTTTAGCTGCGTTCTAAACCTTTACTGCTCTAGATCAGTTTTAGATTTTCAGCTGAGCTTTTTCCTTATTGTTCCAAGTCATCAACTGTGTGATCAATCTTCAGAGTTCTAGACCCTCAGGGTCTCATGTACAAAGCCTTTTTCATAAGTTTCAGGCACATTTCAGATGCATTCTGCCCACTGATTATGCACAAAACTGGTGCATGAGCATAAATGTGCAGTTTATGGGCCATGCGCATGAAAAAATGCTGAATGTGCGTCACTGGCACATGCATTTGGGGGAAGGGACAAGCAACATGTGGGTCAATTGTGCAAAAAGTTTGTGGAGATATTATACATACGGCTGATTTCATATTCCGCTGAATTTACTGAAGTTTGAGTACCCTTCAGTGGCTGGTTTTGCATAGATGTAACAATGGTTATCATCTTATTATCTTTAAATCATTTAAAATATAGTCATTTTGGGGCTCCTGAGTGGTGCAACCGTCTAAGCATTCGCCCTATAATCAGAAGATCGCAAGTTTGATTCCTGATGATGTTACAGCCATCCATGGCCAGACAGCACAATTGGCCTCGCTCTCTCTGGGTGCCCCAGACTTTTAAAGCTTACTAGTTTCTAAAGTAAATATTATCGGATTACTATCAGTATCATTAGATTTCAATATCAACATTTCAATATCACTGGAATTGGAAAAGACAAAGTTATATCTTGCCATCTCTACTAATAATTCAAGTTCTTTCTTACCAAAACGTTCTACATACATTCAAACTTGATTAAACTGAACAGAATTTGCAATCAGCTGCATTTCCCAGATCCATCCATTTTTGCACAATCCTCCCACATTGTGCACAGACCTACCTCAGATTTAAATGTATGAATATATATCTATGTATTTTACATTTTTTTGCATGTATATGGTACATACACTGTGCATTTATGTTTGTATATATGTTTTTTACAGGCAAATTGCACAAAAAAAACGGTTGCTACAGACTTAGTATATCTGATCCTTACTGTTTTATGCCCAAGACACCCCAGCCCTTCACATTTAAGTGTTTCCCTGCTCTTACACACCCACTTCAACTCTGGAAGGATTGTTTAATTAGCTGATCATTTAGATCAAGGTATGTAGAACAGAAAAAACAACAAAAATATGCATGACATAGGTACTCCAGGAGCAGGGCTGTTAAGCATTTTACCTGTGCATGGGATGGGGGAAGGCCTTTGCGTATATAGACACCAAAAACAGCATCTTTGCCCAGTGAGATGTTGAACTTGAGAAACTGTGGTTGGCTGAGATGGAGCAGGGACCTCCAGAATACCCCTGGCGGGACCTCCTGAGTCACCCGCCGTCCCACTTCCAGGTCGCCTGTATCTATGCTGCTGTTCCGAAATGCCCACGGACCTGAGGCAGGGAGGACAGAGGGAAAATCAAACTTCTTCCCTTTCTTCTGTGTTATTGAACAGGGTTCAAACAGCAAACAGAAAAACAGATCGAGCGTTCTCTTTGTTGCTCTGAAAGAAAACAGACTGAAGAATCAGATTGAAGATGGCGAAAGTGCTTCTTCCCACTGTTGGATGTTCAGAGTTCTGCCACTCCACAGTGCACAGAGACAGCAAAAAGATTGTTAACTGTCAAAGTTGAAGAGAGAGAGAACAAAGACTAGAGGGGAGCTCCATAAGCAGAGTTGCACTGTTCCAGTATTGCACACAGCAGCGAGAGCTACATGCGGTTTCATCAGAACCCAGTCTGAAGTGAATAAATAGAAAGGTATATCTCAGAGGAGATATCTGGAGTTCCCTCATAGGCATTCCCAGGTATCTGCAAGATGAATCTGTTATTATCATTAAACCTTTGTGTATTAATTCAGAGAGGTCATAGTCTGTGCTAACACCAAAAGCATGGTGTAATTTTTTATCAACTATTTCTCACATATAGCCCACTGAAATAATCAGAATAATTCTGCTGAAAGTGCAGATTCTAACTTTCAACTGGTATTACATTTGTGTTTGTAAGTAGGACAGTAGATATTTCTTACGATTTGAATGAGAAAAGTATATTACTCCAGTCTTATTGACTTTACACTGGCTTCCACTTAGGTTCTGTGTTGACGAGAAGCTCTTGCTTGTGACATTTAAAGCTCTTAATGGCGCAGCTCCAGCATATTTTGCTAATCTGCCGAAGCATTATATAAGCATCCATACAGACCACTTCGTTCAGCTGAGGCAGGCTTACAGCAAACTCCTTGGATCAGTGAAAGATTTTCTTATATAGCTCATTAAGGCAAATTCCAATGATTTTTAAAAAATCTCTGCAAGATTAAATGGTTAAGAAGTAAGTAAAGTCATTCATTTGATGTGAAATGCACCGTTCGAAAGAAACTTGCTGGATCAGAATTGTTCACAGTGGTGGTGAAAGGAATCAGACGTCTGAAGAATTTTAAAGTCTCAAAAAGTTACCATGCAGACTTTTATTACGTGAAATGGATACGAATATGACCCTAAAGCCTGAAACATTGTATTGTGATAGTTCTGAGAAAAGGTTCTGGTATAAAATGTAATTTTTTAATACAGACATGACAGTGAGGTACATGAATGAAGTCATATAGAAAAAAAGTACCTCAAGAAAACTTTTTGTTTTCAGATTTAACACTGTTTTACCATCATCAACATTACCTATAAAAACTCAGAAGACATGTGTAGGTCCACTGCTGGTAAAAATGGTTATATCTGTCTTGTAGACATTGCAATCTCTGAACAACTTTGTTTATATCATAATGAATGAACTATGTGGAGTTAAAAAAATTGAATTCCTCTTTAAATCTAGAATAAAACATTTGTTGAGGCTCGTAAATGGCTAGAAGTAATGAGAAATTATTCATTTTCTCCTGTTTATAATTATGCTGTGATTTTCATTTAGGGTGTAGTGTTTCTATCTTTCCAATATTTTAGTTATATTACTGTGAAAAGCACTTATTAATCTTAATCTTTATTGTGTCTTGTTTTGCAGAACCTCCTGACTTTCCTTTTTTTGTCATTTTGTGACATCAAAACAAACAGAAAAAAGCCAGGGGTGCAGACTGTCGATACAGAGGGTAAACTGAATGTAAAAGTAACTAATTGTGTAACTATGTAAATATGTATTTACAAAGTTGTATAGAAAAGCAACAATACTCTTGACTTGTATGATTTAACAGCTACTGTGACAAGGTCTGCAGGCTTCTTTGATAGAATATCTGTGTGGTCATATAACACACAGCTCAGAGAGGAACAGAGGAATAAGCAAAGAACGCACAAGAAATGTAGCAGTGCTTGACTCATTGATGTACCCATAGGGAACTGAGCCTCCGCTAGCAGTCCCAGCTGGGAAAAGCAGGGAAAAACCATGTCAATAACTCACTGTGGCAGCTATCTTTCTCTCTGTCTCTCTCTGTCTTCTCCTTACTCCTGAGTCTCCTAAAAGCTTTAAAAAGAGCACCAGCACTGCGAGAGCGTGTGTATTCTCCAGCCTGTAGCCTGTAGCGCATGTCAACAGAACACAGGCCCTGTTTACCCTCCTAATCACACGTGCTGTTATCCACTTCTGATTTAATGGAAAACTCTCTCACTCGTTTTTTTTTTCTTTACCCCTTCTCTCTCTATCTCTCTCTTTCCCTCTATCACTCTTTTTGTTGCTGCTGGCGACAGCTGGGTGTAAGTGGATGCAGCGTACGGACACCTCTTTCTCTCTTTTTTTGCTTTTTGTGTGGCGGAGACACACACGTGTTCACACAAACACACACACACGCACACAACCCACGGTCCTCCTGTAATCAGGTCAGCTCGACGCTGGAGACCGCTGCCCTGACAGAGGAAAGCCATGAAAAATGGTGAGGAAATGAAGAACAATGAAAACACAATCAGGAGGAAGTGGCCGTCGCAGAAGAGGAGCATAGCCCCCCTGCTCATTAACACACAGGAGCACAGAGCAGGGCCGAGAAACGGAGCGATGGAGAGGAGAAAATGATGCTCCTCAGGGAAAGCTGGGTGGCTCTGCTCCTGAAACAATAGAAACTATCTCCCTGGAAAGCGTTCATTAGTTAGAGCACAATCAAACAGCATAAAAGAACTATAACACATACAGAACCATAGACGTACCAGAGAATAGAGACATACAGCTTAGATTAGTTACAGCTTACAGGCAAGTAGCATAGAGACACAGAGCACATAGCACTTAGTTACACAGCAAAGATTAACCTGAGCACAAGCAGAAGATGGGCCAGATATACAGGATAATAGAAGTCATGTCATGTAGAATACATTAATTAGAACTTAAGCAGTTAGAAAAGCACCATAAAGAAGGCACAACAAAGACACATAGCACCTAGCATAGCAGAGAATGCACAGCAAAGATTAACCCAAGCATAGACATAATACAGAACCATATGGACACATAGAAAGTACAGAACAAGGCAACAAACAGCAGATTAAGCAGAGCATAGAGACACATATGTAAGATTAGCACAGCTATACTGCATTGTACTACAGATTAACCAGCAGAACTGAGTGCTCAGAGCTTTATACGCATATAATGCACATGTATAAAGTGCGTATGTTTAAGTGTGAGTACAGATGATGTCATCATGGCAAAAGGTGAAGATTACAAGCTCTTCACATGGAGAGCTTTTTCCAGCTCACACTTCAAGAGGAGAACACTTCGAACTCATTAGACACTCGCTCTTCATGCAGTGTATAAACTGTAGCGCTTTCTGTTCATAGAGGGAGAGAGAAAGGTAGAGAGGGAGAAAAGGGTGGGGGGTGAGAGGGAGAAAAGGGTGGGGGGTGAGAGAGAGAGAGAGAGAGAGATGTTGAGTTGCACTGTGTGGACAGGTGGCTGGTCTGTGCTGTAGTTTCAGAGAGAACTGATTGAGTTGTCCTTCGGGTTGGGGGGAAATGTGTCGTGGCCAACGACAGCTGCCGGCTGCAAGGGTGTGTGAGTGAGAAGGCGACTGGGAGGCAGATATAGCGAACAGCAGAGAGAGTGAGAGAGAAAGAGTAGTGACAAACTAGAGAGGCAACTGAAAAGTGCAGTGTGAGTGAGCTAGTGTGTGTGTGTGTGTGTGCTTGTGCGTGTCTTAGCACCAGACATGGGTAGTAAATAAGGATGCACACAAATTTCTGCCACTGAAAATGGTCAAAAGTGGCACTTTAGGTTTTGAACGAAAAAGAAAAATAACTAAATAGTCTAAAACGAGGGTCCAAAATCAAATACTTAAACAATCTGAAGGGTAATGAAAATGAGAAACAGTGAAAATTTGTTCACTTTGCTCTCCTGCGCTGGTCAGTGCAGACATGCTTAAACAGTTTGAGCACAGCAGATTAACAGTGAAACACTCAAACGTAGTCTGCAGCAGCTGCACTCTGTACGGTCTTTAGCTTACATGCTTTTTAGCATTGACTGATTAATGAAATCACTTAAACTTTTTACCGCTTTTGAAAGTTGTTACTGCAAATATGTGTGATCATTAAATCCTACTGCGGTTTATAACTGTTTCTTCTCTAAATGATGACTTGCATGCTAATATCAGTGGCAGTAACATTACATTTACATTTACATTTACATTTACATCATTTAGCAGACGCTCTTATCCAGAGCGACTTACAAAAAGTGCTTTGTCTATCCAGAGGAAGAATCTTTGCTAGCTACCAATAGGTTAGAGAGAAAGACAGTCCTAAACTTAGATACTGCTAGAATCAGAAGGTCATTGACACCTAGTGAAAAAGGGACAGAGTTAAACACAGAACAGTGCAATACAATACAATACAATACAATACAATACATAAGTGCTGTACAATACATTACATGTTTACCTTAGCAACTTTGCAACTTTTCAAATACACTGTACTTGAGATATGATATTACTGTAAGATATTTGGAATGAAGTGTACTTGTACGTCTTTCTGCATTCTTTCCAGGATATTTTAAATCTTAAAAATATCATGGAAATTTTGTTGCACACAAAACAGTCGTGTGTGCAACAGAACATACAACCAAGGTGCATGAGCTTGTTTGTTTCTGTCCTGTGCTCTATTTCATCTGCAGTAAGGCAGAAATACATTAGCTCTTCCAATGCTGATATTTGTATGGATGTGTTAGTTGGTACAGTATATTGCTTGTTATGGCTCATTGGTCACTTATATTGTTATGATTTGTTTGTTGTCTTTAATTTTGGGTAGTCTTTCACCATATACTGACTTACTCAAGTAATTATTGAGATGACAAGCTTTACTTCCACTTGATTATTACTTCTAGTGTAATTATTATTTTTAAGTTACATTATGCGTATTTGAATGTCAAAGTCTACCCACCGCTGGTTAGCACACTGAATTTGTATGGAGTTTGTTCAGAGGTTCTAAAAATACATATAAGAGATTGTGAAGTGGTATTAATAGAGCAGGATTATTACATGTGTGCTGTGTCCACAGTATACTGCAATAATACAATATTACACAGTGCTGTTCTTCTCACTCAGCCTGCTGGAGCTGGAGCTGAAAGAATTAAATATCCACAGAAAAATATTTCTCACTTTAATCACAGAGCAGATGAAACCGTGTGGGGCTCCTCACTAGCTGGAGTGGAATTTCATCTCTGTTGTAGCAAAACCTAACAAATATTCTTCAATTTAATACACATCAATGTAAAGAGGATATCGGTCCCCAGGTCATGAAATGTTCACACCATATAATGGCATCTTGCAGTTCCAAGTTGTACATATGAGCAGTTTTGTCAGCTTGTCAGATGAAGGCAGGGTAAGTCAGCACCATGTCAGAACCTTTGAAAGTCTTCATAGTCCAGTCTGTTCATTCTGCGCTCTTTTATGTCTCTGCACTACTTTATTAATACACATAAAAAGCTTTGTTTTGTGAGTAAAGATCAGCAGATGCACAGACCGTGTTTGGAGTTTCCAGCTTCAGAAGCTGCACAGCTTACCTCTGCCTCCAGGGGGCACTGCTGCCTCTTCTGTACTGCCAGGCAGGCCAGTGCCCAGACCGTGGTTCAGCATTGGACCATCCACAGGCTTCAGCTGCCAGTTCAGCCCCAACAGGTTCATAGCTGGGGAGAAGAAAAAACAAAGGAAAGAGTCAGTATGCTACGTTCCACTATAAAAAGGACAGCAAAAAGAGCCAGATTACACACGGAGTTCTGAAAAAGGATTGGGAGAAAAAGTGTGCCAGGAACTCTGTATAAACTTCCATCTTCCCATCTGTGCTTTCTGTTTCCATCTCTACTTTATGTTTTCTGTGACAAAGTTTTTGCAACTTCTTTGCATTTCCCTACACCTCAGTACAGTCTGTCAGTCTCATCACTTCCAGAGTACAGCTACCAAAACAGCAAACATGAAAAACAGAAATGTGAAATGTTTGGTTGGTGTGCCATACTTGTTGAGAGATTATAGAACAGTGGTGCCCAAAGTTTTTGTCCTGGGGTGCTGAGGTGCAATGTGGAGAGCCAAAGGCCAACAAGATAAAACAAAATTAAAGAAAAAAGGTAAGTTTCAAAAATGTATTTTCTAACTTTGCACTATATTTTATTATTGAAACTTGAAATTCAAAAAAAAGAAAATAAGAATTTAACATGTCATGTATAGTATAAAAATAAGTCTATTCTCTCACTGGATGACAGCATGAAGGCAAGGGTAACTTTCTGGTGTGCCTCATGGGCCAACTTTGGCTTGCAGGCCACACTTTGAGCAGTCCTGGTCTAGAATGCAATCTCTCTATTTAGTCTGGTTTGTTTGGTTTCTCACTTCTTTTTCTGGACATTCTAAAAACAGCTACAAACATTACAATGTTGCTATTTCTTGAAGAATATTTGGTCGGTGTGCTCTTCTATACTCATTATCTATACTCAATCTATACTGATTTAACAACCAGTGCAGCAGGCAGAGCAACCACACTGGCTGTCATATAGTTGTCTCTTATATTGCTGTTTATGCAATTTTAAACCCGTGCCTCATTGATTAAGACATGGCAATATTGAGTAAACAATTTTTCATTTGGGGCCTATTATACTTTGCACTGGGTCAGATCCTAGTTTATGCTACTGACTACAACCATATGTTCAAGGTGTGGTCTGAAAAAAATGCAGATTATGTGCCATGTATAAAAATATTTCATTCACATGCAAGGAGGAAGAGGGTAAGGTAGAAAGGCAGAACAAATGCAGTGTGTGTCCTAAAGGATGTCCATCAAATTCCAACAGAAACCAGATGACAAACGAACAGCCATGTAAAGGCCTGTGTGACTGATTTATGTTGACTGATGCTGATACACTGACTGTCAGTCCAGGGATGTGCAAGTGCAGATCTGGCTCGGAGTTACAGTCCAGAGGCATTTCTAACACATGTAATCGTAACGCCGCTCAAAATCCTTGCAAATTTGACTTTGCAAAGAGCGACAATTATGACTCTCTGCTCTGTATTATTTTCCGTGCGCAGACGTTGGGAAATAGCCGGTAATTGGCACTTTAACAAAATGCCATAGCACTCAGTTGTGTTTTTTTGTGCCTACTGCTGAAGCCATTGGGAAGGGTGGCAAATCCTAAGGTAAAATCAGAGGAACAGTAGGAGGGAGTGAAGGGGAGAGAGACACACACACACACACACACAAGTACCCAAATAAACCAGAGTGAGTGAGAGAGAAAGACAGAGACCGATGAGCCAGACAGAGAAAAACACAGACAGAGAAACAAAGAGAGAAAAATTTCAATCCCCAAAGCCGTGGTTAAAAGTTAACAAGTAAAAAAAATGACTTCTCCCACAGCCAGAAACTTTAGGAAACCACACAACATTATTTTAAAGAGCTGATGCCATTCGGTGGTGCAGCAAGCGACAGACAAAAAAGCAGACAGTGTCTCTTTCTTCCCATTCTTTCCCGGGGAGCGCCGTTTCATTCCTCCTTCCCTCCCTCCCTCACTCCCCGGGTTTAGTGTAGGCTCAGGTAGCTCCAGTCATTCACAGCAGCTCCATCTCCCGAGCCCTGGCTCCCTTTCAACCGCTGCCAAGCAACTTTAGTACAAAGAGAGAGATTTGAAAAATACAGACACTTCACTAAATGGCCAAAAGAAGCCACCACAGGAAACAGAGAGGGGGCGAATTACAGTGCAACGCACACCGCAATGTGGGCCCTTGCTGTGCATCTGTGTTGCACTCACTTTTCTCTTCTACTCTCTACTTTTCTTGCCTTTTCTTTTTCTCTTGGCATCTATAAAGACAATTTCGGTTTGTGAGTCATCTACGGGCCGGCGTGCAGAGGAAGAGTTTCAGAGATGACGGCGCTCAGCTTCTCCAACTCATTCACTGCTAAATTCCTTCAGCATATAAAAAGAATTGTTGGGCGAAAAATCTAATTTAAACTATTAACAATGAGTCAAGGCATCAGTGGCGTAAGTACTGGGGGCGGCAGGATAATTGCACTGGGGCCCATTGTGCGGGGAGTCCTGTGGTAACCGGGCCCCCTAAATTTGTTACTGGGTCCCTTCATATAGATACTGATATAATTGTACACCCATGACTCACAGAAAGATACCTCACCAGTTAGCTTCCATTAACACAACACAGACAGCTCTGACGTCTATATACACTATTTGGACAAAAGTATTGGGACACACCTCAGGTGTGTGAATTCAGGTGTTTCATTCAGTCCTCTTGCCACAGGTGTATAAAATCAAGGACCTAGCCATGCAGTCTGCCTTTACAAACGTTGGAAAAGAATGGGCCGCTCTGGAGAGCTCACTGAATTTGAGCATGGTACTGTAATAGGATGACACCATTCCAACAAGTCAGTTTGTGATTTTTTTTTTCCTCCTAGATATTCCACGATCAACTGTAAGTGGAATTATTGAAAAGTGGAAGTGTTTAGCAACCACAGCAACTCAGCCACGAAGTGTCAGACCACGTAAAGTTACAGAGCTGGGGTACAAGAGTACCAAACCTCCTCTGGCATTAACATCAGTACAAAAACTGTGCGCTGGGAGCGTCATGACATGGCTTTCCATGGCTGAGCAGCTGGTGGAGGAGGGATAATGCTCCAGCATACCAGGACATTTTAGACAATTGTATGCTTTCAGCTTTGTGGGGACAGTTTGAAGAAGGCCCTTTTCTGTTCCAGCATGACTGCGCCCCAGTGCACAAAGCAAGGTCTATAAAAGCATGGCCATCCAATATCAGTGTCTGACCTCACAAATGCTCTTCTTGATGAATGGGCAAAAATTCCCACAGACACACTCCAAAATCTTGTAGAAAGACTATCCAGAAGAGTGGAAGCTGTTATAGCTGCAAAGGGCGGGGGGCAACTCCCTATGGATTTAGAATGGGATGTCATGAAAGCTCCTGTAGGTGTAATGTGCAGGGGTCCCAATACTTTTGTCCATATAGTGTGTCTCCCTCTAATTCATAATGCGGCTTATCGACGGTAACTGTTTTCAACTTTCAACGTGATATAATCATGTATGTTGCACAGCAAGGGTTCTCAGGAATCTAGAACAAAATCATTAGTGGGGCATCTGAAAACCCTGGAGGTGCCAGGTAGGGCGAGATTTTCTTACGTATAGTTGCAAAAAAAAAAAAAGGAAAATATGGGACGAGAATTTATATCTATCCAAAGGAGCCACACATTCAGGACAGAATCAACAGGAGAGCCGCAAAAAATAGGTCCAAATGTCGACCCATTTAGGAAATCCGTCTGCTAATTTATCTTCCCGCAATATGCAGCACAACCTTAAAATGCAGACAATACAAAGTGATGCATGAAAAGCCTCCTATGTTAATCAATATAGCGCTTTATATTGGCTATGCATGGGAAGCAGTGCAGCGGTATGAACAAAATTTAGTTTCACTTTGATTTTTGATTGATTGCTTGCTACTAAAGACACACGTACAAAACAGTGAGTTTAATGGAGCATGATTACTGACTGGTGGGGCATTGACCCCCCTAAATGATCCCCTGATTCCGAGCCTGGGCTGGTGACATGTTGGAAGGTTAAATATGAAGTATAATTATTGCAATCCAAATATGTGATCCAATGTAAACATTTAGGTTAAGATTTGAGAACATCAACAATATGAGACATAACAACACCAAGTAAACAAGCAAATTACATTGTAATTTTTTTAATCACTGTAAGTAATTTTCAGATCGGGGCATTAGTGTTTTTGCACTGCAAGGCTTGTTTGGTGTATGAAGTTTGCTTCTTTAAGTATGAGGCTAATGTAGCTCACACATAATTGAAACTTGAACCTCACTATGTAGCTTTGTGCTAACTGCACATCTAATTCATCACACCCTTGCATCAAACCATGTTGCTTTGTTAAGCAATCTCAGAGTTGTTTATGATACCACACATCACATAGGATCTATAAAATGACAAAATGTTATGCTTAGCTAAGAACAGTAATAGCAGCCTGAAATTTCTCTGTACTTCCAACCAATTTTACAGATAACACTATGTCATAAGCAAGTCTGTTTGAGATTACTTTGTGTAAAGAAGTCTGAGATTACTTAACATCTCAACATGGTTTGACAGAAGTGTGGGATGATTTAAGCATGCAGTTTACACAGTGCTAATTGGTAGGACTGTTAGCTACATTAGCCTTGTAGCTCCAGTGTGTAACTCTTATTTTTCACTGAATTGATCTTTTGAATATGTTCAGAGAAAACGGCCAGGCCACAGAGTTCAACATGAGCTGAAAGTGTAACGTAGGACATGACTCATAAATGACATTTAGACTGAAAGATCTCCACACAGCAGCTAGCCGTGTATTGCTAGTGACCGGGTTACCACAGCAAGAAGAAATTGTGAAATTCTATTCTTTTGCATTTTTCTCTCCTTATTTGCTCAATCACTCGATCTGTTTGAGACACACACACACACACGCACACATACATGCACCGCCCCAGTCCTCACCGCGGTGATGGCAGGATGGCAGGCCGTGTGTTAATGACTCCCGCCCCTTCGCTCACCTTCATTCTGCTTGCCTATCACACCTAAATCTCATCCCAGAAAATCAATTTTCTCTCTTGTCAAATTCCATCTCCCCTCCGCCTGCGCCTCAC